AAATAGTTTTAAGCTATATTTAAAACACAGTGGTTTATACATTAGTTTAAAATATATGGTTTAAATGTCCTGTTCCTGCTTAAGAAAACAAAACAAGGCAAACACAAMCAATGTGAAGTGCACACTCCTCCACTCTTTGAATGCCAGGGGTTCTGCTGAGATTTTAAGTTTTGCAGTTCCTGTCATTACTAACCTTAGAATGTTAACATAGTTTCTCTTTGGGCTGCTTCAAGGCTGTGCTCTAATTTCTGTGGCACTTTCCCTGGGTGTACACTTCTTAGAATCACAGAAGGGTTGAGGTTAGAAGGGACCTCTAGAGATCATCTAGTCCAACCTTCCTGCTCCAGCAAGGACACCCAGAGCACGGGGCACACGGTTGTATCCAGGCAGGTTTGGCGACCTCCAGAGAAGGAGACTCCATTCTGGGCAGCCTGTTCCAGGGCTCTGTACAGGAAAGTTCTTCCTCACATGGAGACGGAACTTCCTGTGCTTCAACTTGTACCCATTGCCCCTTCTCCTGTTGCTGGCCACCACTGAGAAGAGCTTGGCCCCTTCCTCTTTACATTCTCGCCTCAGATATTTTCACCTGTTGATGAGATCCCCTCTCAATCTTCTCTAGGTTGAACAATCCCACCTCGCTTAGTCTTTGCTCATAAGACAGACGCTCCAKTCCCTTAATCATCTTTGTCGCTCGATGCAAGACCCTCTCTAGAAGTTGCACGTCCCTCTTGCCTTGGGGGAAAGCCAAGTACAAGCACAAAAGCCACTACCTCTTGCTTTATACTGAGCCTTTCATCCTCTTGCCCTGTTCTTCCGTGGGAGCCAGAAAGGGGGATGGGGCCGGGAGCCGCAGGAGGGATCTCTCCTGACAGCAGCCCCTAAGCCAGGAGCTACCAACCAAACCTACACTCAGGCATAACTTCGTCATGAGAAGAGGAAATTAACCAGACTTAAACTGGGACTACAAAGAGATTGACTTCTGCTGCTGTCACCATACTATTCAAACACTTTGATTTCTGTGGAAATTTATGTGGAAAGCACTGAAAAAAGTACTAGATTGYACAGATACTAAGAAATGTCTCAGTTAAAATATGGTGTGCAGGCTACTCCTTAATCCTTTTCCATATATCCAAGAGTAAAAGYTGGCTGACCTCCCTCCTGGCTTCAGCCTAGCCTCTCACTCCTCCAACACGACTTTGGAAGGCGAAAAGAGGAGGTGTCCTCCCAAGCACAGGACCCATGCCCAGTGCCCTGTGCAACCTCTGCTTCTCCCTGCACCAGATGTAGTTTTCTCTGCATTTTTGGGATGCTGCTTTCGGGCTTTGTGTCTGATCTCCCAAGGCACAAATCTGAATCCCAGCAGGTCACCTGCAGCTCCAAAGCAGCCGGCACACAGTGCAAGATCTGTGCTGCAAGGGCTTCCTTTTCCTCCTGAGCACACGCTGCCTGCCGCTGCAGGGACGTGATAAATAACTTAAATTCCTGGGCACTATCACGGCACAAACAGTAAATAAAAAGCACCAGCGAGGGGCATGCTTCCCAGGCAGGTTGCCAGCCGATGGCCACTGCCCCCGGGGCAGAGGCAGGGCTTGTGTGAGGGCAAAACCCAGCAGCACTTGGTCCCCCATGTCACCCATTCTGCTTCTCTGCATAAGCATCGAGCCGGTTTCCTTCACCTGTTCATAGGCAGCTCCTATAACCTAAAATAACGCTGTACATGCTTCTCACATGCTGTATCCTGTGCCTGGTAATCTCTGCTAATCTCCGCAGTTAATGATTCACTCCACCTCAAATGCAACACAGAAAATATACAACAGGAACCACTCTTACAACATCCACCTTGCTGTGTGCTTGGACGAGGAGTGAACACTCTTTGCACTTGCATTGTTAACTGCTTTATCTCTGAGCTGCACTTGAGGAAAGCTAGTGACTGGAAAGACCAAATTATTGCACACACATATACATATTTATGGGACGTGATGTCATTACAATTAGCACAAACACAGGAGAAGGTGCATCGGGCAAAAATATTGTGACAGGATAGAGTTAGCTGGAAACGTCTTGAGYTCGGAGCACTTCAGTTTGCAACCTCAGCAACTTTCCCTTTGAAATCTTATCTTGCAGTGTATTCCTTTGGTGGAATTCCACCAGAGAAGATTGCCAATTTTTCTACTGTTTGATATTGGGAAAGAAATTAATGAAAGTGAATTGACTTGCGCAGGGAGCACTGCAGCAGTGTCTTCCACAAACATCTGATGATACAATCCCTGACGTYCTATCTGCCTTAAAGAATTCAGTAGAGAAGCTGTCTCCAGTGAGATGAATAGAATGAAGTCTTTCAGGGCTAGTTTTCAGCCAAATCAACGAGCTAAGAGAAACATATTCCAAAGCAGAGAAGTAAGGAAGTGACAAGGATCTGGTGCAGGGGGTAAAAGAACCCATCAGAAAGAAAATGTTAGATTGGCTTCAGCAGCTCACAAAGACTCATCTTAACAAATTCTGCCTCCGAAAACTGCATGTAAGTTTGTTTAAAATCTGAAGACCAGTCAAAGCCTCAGTCTAGAGGAAGAGACCTCTGGACAACTCCATTGCTTATGTTCCTTATGCTCTTTTTAGTGTGTAAGCCCACCCACAGTAGACTGCCATCAGGTAATAAGGTTGTAAATATAATGATAACATTTCATGTACCTATATAGTTAATATTTTTCTAAAAAATAGTAATATATTAATGGCAAGGTTCTCTTCAGTACCTTTCTTGAGAAACTGCTAGTGTTGTGTGCACTTAGTTCTTTGTGGCTTAGGATGCCAATGAACTTTTGAACCCAACTACTGTGAAAAAGGCCGAAATTTATGGACCTGTAGGTGCTGTCACCGTTCAAAAGTTAATGATTCTGAACGCTATGCATTCCAGTTTATTAAGAAGTTTTCTTAAAGTGATCATCTACGCAAAGCGAGGCCTTTGGAAGAGCAATGAAAATTGGTTTTGCCTTTTCCCTTGCAGCTTCATGATGCATAAGCAYTTGCAATAGAAAGTCTCCCTTATAAGATTATGGTCTTCTATAAAGACATTGATAGCAAGACAAATTTCTGTTGAACTCTATCTTGCATTTAGTCACTTGGGGAAAACAAGTAAGAAAAAAGCTTTAAGAAACATGCTTCCTTTTTCCCTAAGCATAAAGAAAGTGCTGAATTGACACTGCTATTTTAACAAAAACATTGCTCTGAAAAGTCTTCTAATCCTTTTCTAAACTGCTCAACAGCAGCATGAATTGAGAAAGGTGGTGCTCCCTGAAAAGGCTGAAGAGGTAGCCAACAGTTTGCAGAGACTGGCACAGAACACACATCTCCTCCAGAAAACACCATCATATGCCCAAGGGCAACCTTTGGTGTAAAAAAACAAACAAAAAAAAMCCCAGAAAATAGGAAAGGTTGAAATCCCTGCTTTAAAATTATTACTACAATTGCAGTGTGCTTTGTAAGGGAGGAAAGTGGCTAAGTCCAAACGCAGTCCACCCCAAAATGGCTAATGAACATAACCACCAAGTGTCAGGCTTCAGTCAAGAGGCAGCAGTGACCTACCTAGAGTAACTCAGGGAAGCTTGCATGTTTTTAGTGTACAGTGTTTAGTGTACAGAGAACATAAAGCCTAGGAAAGGTCTTGACCTTCATTCCCAAGCAGGTCAGGCTATCAGAGTTCACCACACGGGAAAACTAACCTAGCCAAAGAGCAGGCAGGTTGAACGAGCTCAGAGAGGTCCAAGAAGTACCTGAGCTCCTCTCAGTACAAGCTCAGCATTACATAGGCTGAACTGCTGGTGACCACAGCCCAAGGAGATCTGGGCCACTTCCTACAGCTTCACATGGGGAATGTCCATAGGTAACTTCATGGAATGTGGAATAATTATTTGGAATCTGTAGATCATCCTGCTTCAAAGTGGAACCATGCTGATTTACCATAATAAATGAGAACGACTGTTTACAAATGTCATCCTTTAGTATAAGACTACTGAGCTGATTCCAGAAGCCAGATTTGTTGGCATTTCCTCAAGCTTTTTTCTTAGAGAAGGATCACAAAGTTTCTGTTTCTATGTTTAGCTATGAGAGGCATAGAAGGATTTAACATGATCTTACTAGTAGTTTGGTATTAGCTTTGAATATTCAACCTCTACTGAAATAATTAAGAAACAGCAGGTTCTTAACAGGCACTCTGGCTAACAACTCAGCACCAAGTCCACCACGGACTATCTGCATGTCCGTGCCCCCTTTCCCACAAGGTTTCGTCCCAGACTATTTTTATGAAGAACGACAAGATTAGAGCAGATGCTGGTTTAGAGCGGGAGCCTCCCCTTGAGACCAAACTCAGATATCACTGGTGTGCACCACAGGATGCCTATGGTCCCTATATGTGATGTCGCTAATAACACGGCAGGATCTGAAGTAGCAGCTGCCCACGGCAGCTCCCAAGTCAAGCAGGTTTCTGTCATCTGGAAGCGCTTSTCGAGCATTTGCGCGGAAAGCCCAAAATAAGTTCTGGGAAGATCTACTAGCACACGTATTTCTGCGATCTTTCTAGCTACGCATATAGCACGTGCATATAGATGTGTGCAGCAACACAGTAGCACTCGCATTTGTCCTTCCTGCATCACAAGGAGCCAGGGGACGAAGGCAGAGCCTGCAGTGCCTTTGCACGCGGGTAACGCTCAGGGCGCTGCACTTGGTGCCCGGCAGAAATTAAAGGCGAACGGAGCCGGGCACCCCCGTTAACAGTCTCGGTGCCGCGCGTGGCCCCTGTCACCCGTGCTGCAGTGACAGTGACATCGGGGCTCCCCTCCCATCCACCGCAGCTGCTGCCACCCCAGGGGAGCAGCGAGGGGCAGGCGGCTCCGCGCCCCGCACCCTGCACCCACCGCCCCGCATCCGCCGCCTCTCCCCGCGGCCKCGGCGCCCGCAGCGGGTGCCGCTGTCGCCGGTGCCGMGAGCGACCCCCGCCCCGCGCCTACCGCAGCTGCTCGCCGGTGAGCAGCACCTCGGCCGTGTGCTCCAGCTCGGCCGCCTTCTGTTGCGTGCTGCTCATGCCCTCCTCCATCGCTGCCCCGCGGCCACCTGCGCGGCTGCCCCGCGCCGCCGCCGCCGCC